ACCCTAAGGGAAATTCAGAGAAGCACTTTGAATTCTTTAGAAATTATCAAAGTGATTGAATTCCCTTATAAACACAACACATTAACAATTTTTAGAAAAAACACAAAGCATATATCTAGTGTTGTAGCGCTTAAGAGATCGACACAATTGTGCCTAAAAATGAATAAATATCGCTGCAATATTGTTCCTATTCTACTATGGTGCTTTCTGACATGGATTAGTTACTTAGTGAACAGTCGTGTCACTTTGATGATAAGTCATGTCCTTGGAAAGTTATAACTACTACATCACAGTGTTGCAAACTTTTGAATGTTATGGAGTTGGAAGAGAAATTTTGGCACCGAGACATCATAGGCTGTCATGCTGTGATGTTGAATGACAGAGAACATGGTGCTATAAAACTAAACTTTTGAAGCTATGGCACTGTCTGATAGAGAAATTAGTACTGAAATATCGATATTCTTTCGCTTCAGTGGTCTCTTTGATGGCGATGTGGTGTCGTTGTTTGTTATGACACACCGGTGTTATATGAAATTAATAATTTTGTGTTTTTTCTTATATTTTCCTACACAATAAAATTAAAATAAAACATTTTAATGAAAAATATAATACATAAAATAATACATTATTTACACTTATCAAATTTTCCCAAGCTTAAATACTTGTTTGTCCTCAAGCAACTGAATATATTATAATTCTGATTAAATAATTAATCGAAAAAAATTGATAATTTAAAATTCTAAAAATATAGGATAATACATTACGGCCAAGAAGTAGTAAAAAAGAATAAGATTATATTTTAGTTTGGAAAAAATACTACAAATTACATTAATTAGTCATTCTTATTATTTATTAATTTTTATTTATAGTCTATAGATTTTGTAATTTTTTTAAATTTAAAGTGAATAATGTACCTTAATAATTAGATATGTTTGTAATTAAAATTGTAACTTCATTAGTTCACCATCATTTGTGCTAGTTCTCTTATTTTATCCTTTATGACTTTAAGTATAAGACTAAAATCAGTTTATAAGCTTTTGACTGATACAAATTTTTTAATGTACTCGTCTTTTTTCTGTTCTATTTTTTCCTATTATCTTTTTAGAACTATTTTCATAATTCTTTTACTTAATATTTACTATTCTGTAAGGAAATATTTTTACAATAGTGAATGGTCAAAACCATCTTGATTGTAATTTTCCAGTGAATAACATAAGTTTGGAATTAAATAGTAAAACTTCTTATTCATAAGTGTATTCTTTTCTGAGAAGCTTTTTTTCATGCCATTTCTTAACCTTTTCTTTATAAATTCTTGCATTTTTATAAACTTAATTTCTAATTTCTTCTAGTTCACACAACTGCATCAACCTTTTTCTTTACCATTTTAAAATTATAATTAATATCTTTAAGTGCCTTGAAAGCTTTATGTTCTAATTTAATTGGAAGGTGGAAAGTCTTTCCATAAAATAATTTATAGGGAGTCATACCAATTGAAATCTTATAAGCAGTTATATAAGGCCATATTACATCATTTAACTTAATTGCCCAATCTTTTCTATTTAAATTGACCTTTTTTATGATTCTTTTAATTTCCTTATTATTAATCTATGTCTCACCACTAGTTTGAGGTGATAGCAGTTGCTACTCTATGAAAAACTTCATATTTCTTTAAGTCTGTTTCTATTTTTATTATATAATTGACTTCCTCCATCACTGATTAAAACTCTTTGGCATTCTAAATCTTGAGAAAACGTTTTTGATTAAAAACTTGATCACAATTTGAGCATCAATTTCAGAAGTTTTCACTCTTTCAATCCACTTTGAAATATAGTTCACAATATTAAAGAATATATTGATTTTCATAGGATGACATAAAAAGTCCCATAAAATTCAACCCAAAACATCAAATATTTCTATTTCTAGAACATAATTCAAAGGAATTTAATATTTTTTATAATATTCTCTATTCTTTGGCATTGATCGCATTTATTAATATAGACACTTACATCCTAAAATAAAGTAGGCCAAAAGAATCATACTTAAGGATTTTAGAAGCAATTTTAAATCCTCCAAAATGTCCTCCATAATGTGAATCATGGCACTCCTTAATGATTGATTTTATTTATTCTTCAGGAACACATCTTCTCATATTTTGATCATTGTATGATTTAAATAAATAAGGTTCATCCCAAAAGTAAATATTTGAATCGTGCAAAAATTTCCTCTTTTGACTAGGTTTTAAATCATAAGGAAGTATAGCGCTAACAATAAAATTAACAATGTATGTGTATCAAAGTGAATTATTTACATGAAGTACAAATAATTCTTCAATAGAAAAATTTAATTAATCTCTTCTTCATTTAACATATATATTTTAATAGAAAGTCTAGAAACATGATTAACAATTTGATTTTTAGTACCTTCTCTATCAAAAATTTCAACATCAAATTCAAGTAATAGAAGAATCCATCTTACCAACCTTAGTATAGTATCTTTCTTTGTTAGCAACATGATCAATGTAAATAATTACTTTAGTGCTGATCAAATATGATATAAATTTATCAAAAGAAAAAACAACTTCTAACAATTCTTTTTCAGTTGTTGTATAATTACGTTGTGCAGAATTCAAAGTTTTGCTAACATAAAAATGACATGAAATTTCTTAACTTGCTTTGGTCTTAGAATAGCACCTACGGTAATATCACTTGCATAACACATAATTATAAATGTAAAGACCAATCAAAAGAAATAATCACTAGAATAGTAATGAACTATTATTTTAATGTATTAAACACTTCAAGACAAGGAGAATTCAATATAAATAGAACAACTTTCTCTAATAATTGACATAAGGGTTTTAAAATTTAGATATGACTTTAAGAAATCTTCTATAAAATCCTACATGACCCTAAAAATTTCTGATTCCCTTTAATTGAATTAGGAGGGGATAATTTTTCTTTTCCATGAATCCTTACTATATCTACTTCCGATCACTTCTTTCAAACTTTATTCCCTAAGACAATGCCCTCGATTACCATAAATTGACACTTCTCCCTGTTTAACACTAGATTTACCTCTACACATCTTTTCAAAATTGTAATCAAATGCACAAGACAAGAATCAAATGTAGTATCAAATACTGAGAAATCATCCATCATAATTTCAATACTTTGCTCAATTAAGTTGAAAAAAAGACATCATACATCTTTGAAAAGTGACTGGAGTATTGCACAAACCAAAAGGCATTCTCTTAAAAACAAAGGTTTCACAAGAGCTAGTGAGACTAGTTTTATGTTGATGTTCAGGTGTAATAGGAATTTGATAATATTCTAAATATTCATCTAATAAATAATAAAATGAATGTCTTGCCAACCTATCGAGCATATGATCAAGAAAAGGAAAAGAAAAAAAATCTTATATATTATCTTTAATTAATTTCCTATAATCTACGCAATCCTCTATCCTAAAATAGTTCTAGTGGGTATAGGATCATTGTGTTCATTTGTTCTAATATTTAATGCTTCTTTTTGTGACTTTCATTCCTTATGATAATTTCTCCTGTCATTTCTGTATTTTCTTTCACTTCTTCCTCTTCCAAAAATTTCTCTTTCAACAACTCTTCCTTAAGATCCTCTATTACCATATCTTCTAAATCCGCCATAAAACATTCTTTATTCTTCTCTTGAGGGACTTTTAGTGTTTTACGCACATTAATTTTTACTTCTTAAATTTGTACATCAATCATTATTTTTCTACTAGCTAAAAATGGTCTTCCTAAAATGAGAGGTATTCCCTTGTCTTCTTCCATATCTAAAATAATAATATCAACAAAAAATTGAATTTATTAACTTTAATTAACTCATTTTCTATTACTCCTCTAGGGTTAGTGAAAGATCTGTCAACTAAGTGAAGAGTAACAGAGGTGGGTTGAACTTCTCCAATGTTTAGTCTTTTAAAAATAGATAGTGGCATGAGGCTAATACTTTGCCTTTTATTTAAGAAATCTCAAATCATATAAAGCCGTACCACATAATTAATCTCCAAGTTAAAAGAATGAAATAAACTCCCTAGGTCCTTAAGTTTTTCATGAACTCTTTTTTGGATTATAGCACTACAGTCTTCAATTAATGCCATAATTTCAAATTCTCCTAACTACATTTTTTTGTTTAAAATATCATTCATGAAATTTGCATAGGTGGGCATATGTTATAAAGCTTCAAAGAAGGGTATAATAATAGTTAATTTTTTAAATAGTTTTAAAAATTTTGAGATCTACTTATCTTGATTTTGTTTGATTAATCTCTAAGAAAACGTGATGGTGGTGGTCTCTCTTCAACTCCCCTAATTATTCATTTGGGTTATTTTATAATTTCAGGTTATTCTGTTGAAGATTTATTTTTTCATGCTCAACTTCACCATCATCATTTTTGTGTAATTCTTTATCTTTGTAAAGATCTCCCAAATCTTTCTCTCTTCTAAGTTGGATATTATGACATTGATCTTTCATTATTTTTGTAATTTATCAACCTAGCAAGCTACCCTATTTGATTCTCAATTTTTTGAAGGGCATAAGATTGATTTTATGCTTGAATTTCTAATTATATAAATAATGCTTTCTAAGGGTATTTTCTCATTCCTTTCTTAATAAAGTTATTAAAAATATGAAGGATAACTCTGCGACGCCATATTTTTAAAATTGATGATGAAGTTATCGTAACCTTCTGTCCTTTTAATCTTTAAGTTGTCCAATTTTGTAGAAATTACTTCAACTTGAGTAGTCAAAATTGATAAAAACATCTTAGTCATAAATTTTATCTACTTTTTTAGGATTTACCCTATCAGCAGACTACTGGAAATTATTATTAGTCAATTCATCTATTAATTCGTAAGCTTCTTCAAATGGCTAACACATTAACGATCCTCCAGTTGTAGTATCAATTATAGCTCTAAGATGACCTACTAATACTTTACAAAATATTGGAATAATCCACCAATTAGGTAATTCATGATGTGGGCATTTTCTAAGAATTTCTTTAAATCTTTCTAAACTATAATAAATGGATTCTTTTTCAAACTGAGCAAAAGAAGTTATATGATTTCTAAGTTTGATATTTTTTTAAGGTGGAAAATAGTTAGCAAGAAGCTTATGAGCCAATTCATTTCAAGTGGTTTATAGAGCATGGGTATAAAGAATTCAACTACTTTTTAGTTTTATCTTTTAAAAAAATGGGAAACAATCTAAGTCTTATAGCAATTACTAACACCATTGAAGTTAAATATTGCACAATTTTTTAAAAAATAGGCTAAATGTAAATTGGGATCTTCTACAAGAGTTCCCCTAAACTGAGAGTTTTGAACCATTTGAATGATAACTTATTTTAATTCAAAAGTATTAGCATAGATTATAGGTATATTTTAGCTTAGATGAATTCCATCTACTAAAGGGTTTGCATAATCCTTAAGAGGTCTAGAATAATTTTGTTCTAACTCAGGTTCAGTCAATTTCAATATCTTTTTGAGTTTCCAAATTTTAGAAAAGATTCTCTCAATTTCATGATCAAATGACAATAGTTCCTTTCTAAGGCATCTAAGGCTATATATCTTCAAAGTTTTAGATGTTTAGTCGGCTCTAGTAAACAAGAAAATTTCACTCCCAATGAAACTTCAACTCGCAAACAAGTTGCTGCCAATTTCTAGTCATTTGCATTCAAATGGATGGAGTTAATTACACCTTCTCCGCACTACTTATCAAAAAAGATTCATTCTAGTGTTGACTATTTACTAAGTGGATTGAAGCTAAAGCTTTGGTAAAGATAACTACTAAAGATATGTTAAAGTTCATTTAGACTAATATTACATGCTAATATAAACTTTGAATGATAATAATTATTAATAATGGGCCAAATCTCTCAAAGAAGAAAATTAAGGACTTTTGTTAAAGTTAGGAATTCAACTCAATTGTAACAAATAATGATATTTTGACTTCATTTGAGACAACTTTCTTATTATTTTTCTAAAGCAGTTTTTTAGCATAAAAATTTTGAGTTTAAGAAATATTTGTACTGAAAAGCTGTTTTAAAAAACAATAAGAAAACTGTCCTAAATAAAACCTTTATCTAAAATTATATATTTTTTATTTTATTATAAGATCATTATACTACTAATTAACTAAAAGATACGCAGATTCATCTTATAGTTAAAATGATATATATTAAACCTTTTCGTGGATGACGCTTGCAGTTAACTCTTGAAAAGGTCTAGTGTATGAGTACACATTCCAGGATTCTCACGTTGAAATCATCATGACAACTCATGCCATGTAGATATATGACACTCCTTAACTCCTAGCTAGTTTTCAATTCTAAGGAAGGCTATCAAGATAATAAATAATTTTAGGGTTCAGATAAATGCATGTGTAAAAATTGCTTGAAAATAGTTAATTAATTAATTAAGATAACTTGATATATTAATAATTTTATTATATGATTTAGATCGTAGTACTATATAATGTGTATGCTATTTTTAGTAATTCTAAAAGGTCAAGTAATATACATTACCATAAAATTTATATTGATAATTTATGTACTAATGGAACTATATGATGAAAATAGGACATTATATAGTCATTATATGATTCTTTTCTTAAATAAGTAAATTCAAGTTTGAACTAGTTATATGATATAGCACATAACATATTTTATGATTATTTAAATAATTACCTAATTAAGATAGATGAATCCAGGAGCATATTCAAAATCAAATCTCGGAAAAATTTTGTATTTTACTATACTAATCATCTACGTCGATCAAGCAAAGAGAGTTTTGTCTATAATTTACTAAGCATACTAATCATGTTGTATGATACCAATCATATAGTTTGAATAAACAAAGATGATTATTTCAATGAATCAAAAAATTATAAGAAAACTAGGATTACAATATGAAGAGCAAAGCAGTAAGAAAGTTGTCCCAAAGTAAGGGTTCGTTTGGAACGATTTTTTTCTTGATTTTTAAAACAAAGTTTTAGCAATTTTTGTAATAAAATTCTGTTTTGAGAAGTAATAAAAAAGTCATCCCAAACAAAGCCTAAACCTAATGTTGCAACCCATTAATAAATCAAGTAAAATTGCATTTTTTTTAATTTTGACACAACTTTGGCTTAAATTTACTATGAATTTGCAATGAAAAAATAATATTCAGATCTTATTTACAGACAAATTGGTCACAATTTAATATTGTTATGGATTTCAAACATTTCATGACGGAAATATTCCGTTACAGAATGGCTAATGTTATAGCATTTTTATAGGTCTTTTGATTCGAAATACCTTTGATAATGGTGCCTTCATTTTGATGATAGAGAAATGCTTGGTTTCTGACTCTTTAACTACTCTGTGGACATATTCTTGAAGTTTACATAACCTTATACTATTTTGGCTTTTGTTATGGCTTTCATCGTCATGTTTTAACGCAATTAAGAGCATGGTCCCATCCAGCTCGGTGCGTGCTTTTGGTTTTCGCATAGTTTGATCTCATGACACAGTTCATTTTGGCTTGTTGTTTGAGAGCTTATGCTTCCAACTAAATGGTCTTAGGTTCGAGTCTTTGTGTATGCGTTGTGTGTTTTATTTTGCCTTAAATGACCTAAATGTCCAAAAAAAAAAATCTCATGAACAAATGTACATAAGCAGTTCATAAGGGACAAAAATAATTGCACTTTTTCTCTACCCTAGTCTATCCATCTAATTAAATAGAGAGAGTGAATTTTGAGTTTATATGCCTCAGGCAAATATATCTATTATTTGTTTTCTTGATAAAATATGCTCAAAATTTTATTTCGAACAAATTATCCCTGATTATTTACGAGCTGCCTATTGAAGACCATCTTGGACTAGATTAATTTAAACCAGATGGAATTCGAAACATTTGTTCAAACCAAGTACTAGCCTTTATTCCAACATTAATATCTCCATACTGCCGGTGCTAGGATGCCTTCATTGGTCCTAAGGGTGTCAAAATAGATTTTAGGATCAGATTTTGTTTGTACCCGAAATTGACCTGCTCTTAATACGTCAAATCCAAACCGGATCTATTTATCTAAACAGTTTAAAATCTCGGACCTAAAGCCAACCCAACACGAACTAATCCGCTTAAAGTTGGAATTTTGCATCCTTCAATGGAGACAAGACACGATGTCATGCGATTACAAGAGCTTGTGTATTTCTCCCAGCTTTGCGCACTTCTTAGACCAAATCAAGTACATTCGGTTCAATACTACGAAGGAAGTCAAGTCACGTTCCATTTTGATTTTGAGTGATTCTTCAGCCAAATATCATAAATCTGCCAATGCGAGCTTCGCCTCCTTCAAGCAGCGTTGATGGCAGCTCGCTCGATGCGGCAATGGTCCTTTCTCCCATTTCGCTCTCTTTTTTTGTAAAGTCCTATAAATCTGCCCGGTCTGGGTCAAAACCGAGTTAATTTTAAGTTGGTAGGTTGACCTGAATTCGACCCATTTATTAAAAAAATATCAAAATTTATGGATCCGAACCCGACCTGTTTATTATCCTTCAACCTTGGTCTCCCATCTATAGTTCTCTGACCTTCGTTACTCAACTATGGTCATTCGACTACTATCATCCAAAAAGTATCCTTCAGCCCACCAGTGACCAACTATGGTTCTTCAGACTTCAATCACTATGGCCCAACTATGATCCACTTAACTATTGTCCGACTACAATCCACAGACATTCAATCGCTTGTCTATCACTACATGAAAATAATATATATATTACCGGTGGCATTTTTTGGCAGAAATTGATAATGTTCCTGTTAATTTGGAATTTACCGTAGGTTTTTTGACGAAAAGTTTTTTGTCGATAAAACCCGCATTGGAAAAATCTTTCCTTTTGATTTTTTCTAGCAATCGATCGAGAAATAATTCCGGCGAAGTTAAGCTGCTAAAAATAAATAAATAAGATCATTTTTGCGCTGTCCTACTGGCTGCCCGAGCTTCCTCGCCCGACTGCCCTCCCGCGTAGCCGCCCAGCCTGCTCTACAGGGCTACAAGCTCCCGTGCACTGCTTAGCAGCATATGAAGAGATTTGTACTCTAGTGGTTGACAAATTCTTCAAACACCCAACCACATTGCTGCATAGAAAAATATGTTTCATTTGTTAGTTTTTTATGTTTTATATATATATAATTACATAAAATTAAGAATCAAGTTAAAAAACTAAAATTAAAACTACTAATTAATTTAAATATGAAAATTAAAATTAATAAACAATTTAAAATAAAATTTAATAATTACTAATTAATTTAACATTGAAAATAAATTAAAATGAAGTATTACAATTAAAAATAAATTATTTACTTAGTAATTAATTAAATTTCGAATTATTGAAGATAAAATTTTAAAATAAATTAAATTTAAATAATAATTTTAAATTTATATATTTTTACTTAAATTAAGGAGATAGTTAACTTAAATTATTTTATTTATTTTTGTTAAATCATTTAAATAGTTAAATTTTAATATTTTTTTAAATTATTTAAATCATCCATAAAGCTGAAAAAGGTTTCAAAAATTTGGCCGGAAAAGTATGCCGAAAAGAATCCGCCAGAATATTCCACCGGAGAAGCTGGCTCATTGTATTCCGTTGACCGCGCGCCGGAATTTAATTATTGGTGATTTTTCTATAGTGTATGGTTCTCCAATTACTATTGCTCGGGCATGATCCTTAAGCACCATCTCCTAACAATGATACTCCGACCATTGGTGCCCAACTGTAATCCTTCTGACTTCCATTGCTTGACTACAATCCTTCTAATCACCTTTACATGACTATAATTTTTCTAACCAGCATCACCTCCCAACTATTTTCATCAATCCTCCAACAATTATCGTCTGACTATTGTTCTCCAACCATTGTCACTCGACTATAGTCCTCAACCATCAGCATTTGAATGAAATCTTCCAAGTACTCCGACTATGATCCTTGAACAACCACCATCAACAAAAATATTGACGCACACGCTATACCTACTCAAAAGGTGAATGCATGTTGTTGATATTAACTCTTACTCTTATTTGCATGTTCACTATAA